AGAAGGGCCACAGCTGACTCTCAGTGAGCACTAATGTGAATAAGAAATCATATGCTGCTGTTGTAATTCACTGAGATTTGGAAGTTGTTACTGCATCATAACTTAGTCCAAGCTGACTGATACAGACAGTGAACTTAGCTTCTAGCTTTCTGGTTATATTCTCCTCAAGAGCTGATTTTTGTTTCATTTCCCATGAAATCCTCTAAGATTACCTAAGTGGGTTTCTTCTCCTTACAATCAACAATCCCTGATAAAACTAAAAAAACACAATATTATTTGAACTACTTTGTTCTTAAAATATTGATCATGTAATGGGTTCTATTCTCCTGCATGCCAAGGTTAAATTTATGCATATGTACACTTTAAAAAATTACTATTAAAGTATCACTGATATACTTTTGAAGGTTTCACATGAACAACATTGTGGTTTCAACATTCACTCATATTATCAAGTCTTCACACCCCACACCCCATTGCAGTCCCTGTCTATCAGCATAGTAAGGTGCTATAGAGTCATTACTTGTCTTCTCTGAGCTGTACTGCCTTCCCCATGACCTACCCAGCATATACGTAATTTGAAAAGTGTTTAGATAAGAGAAGTGCAATTTATTGTACTGATGGTAAGGATACTTTTTGCCTTTGCATTATTCTTATTACTCAATAACAGATGGCTGTGATATTTTCTTTATGCAAACTGTTATTTGACCTGAAATTCCAATAGCATCTTTTCAGGGTATATACAGGAAAAACAATTTCTGCTACTTGAAAATGAAAACAGTATCTTCTTCAGAGAATTGGAAAAAAAACTGAGTCATACTTGTTGTCATTTTAGCTTTGTTACTGAAAAATAAAATACCTTTGTTTCATATATAAACTAATCTTTCTGTAGTGTCCTTATTCCTTGAGCTTAATTAAACAGAGTATTCTCTATGGACCCATGAAGATGTGGCTCTTTCTTTAAGGCCACCTGCAAGGGTAGCCTTTGTACCGTACCCTGTGCTCTGTGCTCTGAAAGGAGCAAGCTAAGTATTCCAAGTTGGGGGATGAGATTTTTACATAGTAATTGTTGGCTAATGAGACAATAACTTCTATTTTACACAAAAACTCTCTTGTGCCAAACTGAAATTAGTGTTATAAATATTTAAATTATTTTTTCAAAATACTTTCATGAATATAGTTTAGCTTCTTTATATCCTGGGGATGGAAAGCACAGATAGATAATGAGACTTTCTTAAAGTTACTGGTGAGTAAGTGGTAGGAATTCCATCAGGCTGGAATCTGGATCTCCTCTCATCTAGCTCTTTCTTCAGTACAAAAAGGAACAATTCAATTCTCTGTAAGATTCTCCTTAATACCCGTAGGAATGTTTACATTGCACACAGAATGTTATGACTGTACTAGAAGTAAATTTTTACAAATTAAAAAAATGAACATATGCTACCTGTTACATTCACCACAGAAACATCTAGATTATACTGTGTTTACTGCTGATACATGGTTAACTACATGCCATTTTAGTTCCATTGAATATCACATCTTGCTACACAAATATTTGATGAGATGCAACCGTACTACAAAGTAGATCTATTTTTCAGAATACTTTGAAATGAAACATAACAACTGATGGTGTCTTGAATTTTGTTTAAATTGCAGACATTCATTTTAAAAAAAGAAGGTAGGAATGGACATTTGAGAGAAGATTCAGAATGAATAGTCAGTCTTCAGGACAGAAAGGAAAAGAAAGTCCTTGCTCAACAAAGCAAACACGAAAGAATGGTTACAAATATATTACTGATTTGATAATTGATAAAACACACCAGGAATTCAAGGATAATATTAGATTTAGGAATGTGAAGTGCTAAAACTAAACTAAAAAGTAACAATAATAGTTCCAACTGCCTATTTGGAAATGTTTACAAAATAATTTTTTGTGTAGCAACTCTTCATACCAACCTAAATTGTGTAAAGAAATATAGCAAATGCTGATACTAAATAGACTGCTACCAGATATTTGTCTTATAAGGCCACTTCATGCATTATTATTTTTCATGGATTTTGAAGGCCATTTACATCTGAAAAGTATTTTAATTTGGTTAATGAATAACTACTTAATTTCAACCAGTTGTTTTTAAAACCACTTAAAAAAAATTTCAGCCATTTTTTCTTGGATGTGTTAGATGATAACTTAGTGCTCCAGGAAATACTTATTCACAGGATTTCCTTTATTACTAGAAATAACTAATTAATATGGTAGAATAATAATGAAAACTTTCAGGTCTGCTAATAACCTGCACTGATAACTAACTGCTCAACTTTGGGAGAGTTACTTACTCTAATTCTTTGCTCTCCTGTGTTTTAATTTAAAGGGCATAGAAATTCTGGCCGATGAGCTTTTTGTGGGGATAAAACATAAACAGACTATATGAGAAAATCTAATATTAACACATTAACTATCTTATTAAGGAGATAAAGCCGGGGAATAATGTTTGTTGTTCATCTAACAGATAAGTGAATGTTAAAAATGTGTTGTCCTTCTGCCTTATTTTTTTGAAAGTTTAATAATCCTAATATTGACTGAATAAAAATTATACCTATTTACTATTTTGGAAAAAGTATAACAAAAGATCAGAGAAAAGATGGTCTTTTTTTAAAATGAACTAACATTCCCTTCCTAATCTACTTACGTCTGAAGGGCTTTAACATTATTCTTTTTTAGCAGACATTCAAATTTCAATGCAGTGTGCACCACAGTGTCTACTCACAACTTCCATTAGTAATAAAAGAAATGGCTTAACATTTCAAATCTACGTGGGGCTTGACAGAGATTTTAAGGTTGCTTTTTGGTCTTAATGAAAAAATATAGGCACTTTTTTACAGAAAATAATGCTGGGTTTGGCCACCCTAATTAGGATGTGCCTCTAAGTTCTTTTTCCCGACAGGGTAATTAATTTCTCAGTTGCAAGGGTAGTTTACCTAGGGCAATTTAACATAGGCTATAGTTAGCATTTAAAGAATGAAATCATAATAAGAAAAAATTAGCTGTGAACTAAAGTTTTGAAGACTTTGAAATTAACATTTAAAAAAGTTAAACTGAAGTGTTTTAAAATTAGTGGCACATGCCTGCCTAGCAGGGCTCAAATTTGTGCTGAATTAAATCTCCATCAGTATGATTTATGGCTTAATAGGATACATGTGAGAACACAAATGACTATAAACGCGGATCACATTCAATTAACATTGAGTTGAGAAAACCTCCCTGATTGCTGAAAATGGTGATTATTTATTTATTTATTTTGCTGTAAATAAATTATCAGTGTTGCACCCTTAACTCTGAGCATGTCTCAAAGCAAGCCTTTCTAGTCTCCAAGGAATGCTGGGAAACCCTGAGTTGGGCGTAAGTGAGGCATGCACATCATATTTTTACCGTCTTGCCTCGTCTTTGGGCTTGCAATTCAATGTTGTGAAGAAAACCACTCTACAATAATCCTGAACCCCTGCCCTGTGCTTTCCACCCCAAACTAAGTGGATTATTTAAAAAGTTAAAGTCAAATTTACACACATACCCTCGAGTGGTTCCCTTCCTTCTAAAGAGTGTGAGCATACCATTATAGAGATCTCTTTCTTCACGAAGCTTCTTTTCCAGTGTGCCCGTTGTTTGGGGGAGGGCACATTAACTAGCATGCTAATTAGTGATAAGGACTACTGAGAAAAACAAAGCAGGGAGGAAAGTAAGGGGTGTCTGAGGTGAGTGGCAGCAACTGTGGTCAAAAAGGTCTCACTGCAAAGGTGACATATGACCAACGGATCTGAAGGAAGCAAGAGGGAGTCATTCAGATATAGGCATTAGGTAAGACTGCTCCAGGCTGAAGAACATCAAATTCAAAGGCCTTGGGGACAGAATTTGCCTGGCACTGATTGCGGAACAGCAGGAGAGACAGTGTGGCTGGGCAGAGAGAATGCGTGGGAGGAAATCAGGGCGATGAGGCCAAAGGCGAACAGGTCATGTAGGCCTGGTGGACCCATTCTAAGGATCGTCTAAGGAACATGGCGGAGGACTGGAGGATGTTGAGCAGAGGAGTGGCAAGACAGAACACGTTGTTAAAAGGCATTCTTATTGAAGCTAGCTTTGGAGGAGACGACATCAAAAGATATCAGAAAGATAAATCTGGTAACAGGTGTCTCAAAGCTTGCACAGAAAACTACTGACAGAGGAAAAGGGCTGACTCCTGCACAAAAGGTCGCGTGGCTGGTTGGGAGGAGCAGGTTACCCTTAGAGACGCACCTGTCTAGCTTTCAGGCTGCGTCCTCGTAGAAACCTCGGGTCTGCTACTCTAGCTCCAGCCGGTCTCCTGGGACAGGGCCTCGGCCTTCAAGCCGTGTTGCCACGGTAACCACTGGTTTTTTCCTTGTCTCTTTTTCCACCCGAATCCCGACTTCTCCGCCTCCAGAGTGTAAAGCAGTAGGACTCTCACCCGCTCCAACGTGGACGTGAGGGCTGAGCCCTCGCGGCCTCATCAGAATTCCACTCGCGGCGTTTCCCCGGCTTCGCCGTGACTCAAGACACCACCTGTCCAGGAACTCCAGCCCTCTCTAGGTACCACGGCCGGAGCCCCCGCAACCATCTCCGCCCCCGAGCTTCTCTGCCCTGGGCACTGGCGCAGCTCTGCCCGGTTACGCAGCGCTTTTCCGTACGCTGGCGGCAGTCCCCAGTCGCAAGTCAGCTAGGGAACCAGGGCGTCCCTGACCTGGCTGGCAGGCAGTGCGCCACAGGAAAGCAGCTCTCAGGTATCCCCGAAACAACTCTCCGGGCACATTCAACTCCCCCAGTGCGCCTTTAAGGTCCCTGCGCTTCCTGCAATGCACCAGACGGGGGAAGCAGATATTAGAGTACCTGCATTGCGCCCCCGCCGAGATGCACCGTACGCAAAAGAGGGGAAGTCTGCTGCAAAATCAGAGGCTCGGAGGCTCGGGGAGTAGGGATGGGTTTTCTTAGGACTCACCTTGTGCAGTTTCCACATGGCCCCCAGAGCCTTGACTTCATGGCTAGAGTGTTTGCCCTCCTCCAAGCACTGGTAGCACACGGGCATCTTGCACTGCACGCAGTACATGCTGTGGTTCTCCAGCTCGTGGTCTGTGCAGGTGGAGACCTTGCGTGGGCTCAGTCGCCGGCTCACGCGGCCCTGCGCTGGGGGCACCAGGCGGTGTTTGGCGAGGGGCCCCCGGGGCGGGTGGCAGCGCAGGCGGCACGGATCGCAGTAGAAGACATCGCACTGTTCGCACATGACGGTGGCCTCCTTGGGCGCCTTCTCGCAGAGCTGGCACTTGAGGGCCGCAGCTTTGCTCTGCTGGTAGCGGTCAATTACCCCTTCCAGTACGCGGTTCTTGGGGAAGCCGCGGAGTCCCCGGTCGTCCAGGATGAGACTGCGGTGGCACTGGGGGCAGGTGATACAGGAGTTGCGGGGCACCGGGGCCAAGGCCGGTGACAGGTGCGTGGCCGGTGGCGGCATAGCTGGGGGAAACACGCGCACGCCGTTGGGGGACTTCTGGCACGGGGTGGTGGGGGCGCTGGCGAAACCCCCGTAGGAGCCATACCCGCTGTCCGCCTCGCTGTACAGGCTCATCTTGTCCAGGTCGAGATAGTCATAGTCGGAGACCCCAGAGCCGGAGGCCCGACGACTCTGAGGTGACTCAGAATCAGGGGTCTGCACCAGGATATTGCGGGCGCACGCCTGACATAAATTGTGAGAGCAGGGCAGGATGATGGGCTCCCGATAGAAGGAGCCGCACACCGGGCATTTTAACTCTTCTTCCATCTCTTCCATGGGGACCCGGCTGTTTGCGAGGCAGCGGTAGCTGCAGTGGGTGGCTGAGCTGGCGAGGTGGCCCACCGTCCGGTTGTGTCCAGCACCTTGGCCAGCGGCGGCGGCGCCTTCCCGCGGCGCTGAGGCGCGGACTCCCTGTGAGGCGCTCTCTTTGCGAGGCCCTCTCAGCGAGCCAAGGCGGGGAGCCCAGCGTCAACCCGGGACCAACCCCTACCATCTAGCCCCGCCCCTGTCTGTAAACAGAACCCTATTGGATAGCGGGAGAGAGAGCCAGGCTCTCATTGGCCACAAGCCCCGTCCTTCTCCTCTCCGCCGCAGGCCACAACGGGTTTAGCAGAGGATCCTGAAGCTGACGGGAGTCTTCGCTCCCGGCTGCATGATTTCGGGAGGGGGCCTGCGTGCGGAGGCGAGGGGACCGGGAAGGAGGAATTAGGCGGATGACTCATCCCTCTTCCCGCTTCCTTCCGACCTCCGGTGCAGTCACCCAGGAGCCGGAGGCGTGAGAAACCCCTCCCCGAAGCGAGTAGGCTGGCGGAGGGGGCTGGTGCTTCTCGCCGACTGCCTGCGTTTGGCTGCCAGCTCTGGTCTCCGCGCCGCCCTGCCCCCGGAGAGTGCTGCGCGGTTCCGGGGACCCCCCCTTCTCCTTCCGCTGCTGGCAGCCTTGGCAGGCACCTCACCCAGGCCCAGGTTTCCGTACGGCAGCTGGGCTTTTGTCCCCCTCCACGAGCCCGCCCAGGCCAGCCCTGGCGCTCCTCCACCCCGGGAGTCTGAAGGCGCCGAGCGTGAGCGCTGGCAAGACTCTCTTCGCTTCTTTCACCCTCAGGCCCTGGTGTCCAGACGGGGATTAATAATACCGGCTTCCTAGTGTCGCCGTGAGACTTAAACTAGATAACCGATGTAAAGGCTTCGTGCGTTAAAATCTGCGTCCCCTCCATTTCCCGCTTTAAATCAGGCCGGGGCCCGAAGCGTTCTAAGTATGGCATGGGGAGAACGTTCCCCTATTCCCCTTCACTCTCCCTGCCTCCCAAAGCCGGTCTCAACAGCTGGCTGATAATTCACAAGGCCAGCAGGACCTTGGGTTGCGCTGAGGCAGGAATGGGTTGCCCATTTCTGAGTACCCAGGGTTTAGTAACTTGCTCCAAATGAATTACTGGGTCACTGTGGAGTCTCAATGGTTGAATCTAAACGGCATACTTCAATGTCACGTGGCCGGAGCATTTACCACAGCTTCAGAATGGTGGGTTCTTTGTGTTTCCTCCGGTGAAGTGCGTGGGGGTGATGTGATGGTGGGGGCGGAGGGATCGGGGAAGACCAGTGTTAGTCCTCCTATGCTAGGCATCTTAATTCTCGCTCGCCGCAAACACTGCTAGAGAAGGAGACTCCATCCGGTCCTGCCCTTTGCTTGCAGAACTGTTGATACGATGATGAAGGTGCAAAAAGAAAGGAAGGAAGGGAGAAAGGAAAGAAAAATCTTGAAGTGATGTAGTGACATTCTGAAGTAACAACTTATTTGAGATAGTACATGGCAACCTTTTACTGAGTGATTCATTAAATGACAAAACTCTAAGAAATCTTCCAATTTTACATCTTCAAAAAAAGATAACGATTATATGCAGGTACATTTATAATTTAAAACCACTTTACTGCTCAGAAAAAAAAAGAGCTTTCTATAATAGTGTCCTTGGAGAAGTAATCCAATAAACTAGGTTATTTTTCCAACACCTTTTCTGTTGCGATGAAAACAACACGATCACAAGTGTTGGAAAAGAGTTCTCATTGTCATTTAAAGTGATGCTAATCACAAATGCTAAGTGATTTTTATTTAATCTGGCTTTTAACTAGCTGAGAACAGAGCATCCGAAAGCATATTATCTGTTTACAAAGAATTACTTCATGTGGGTTTGGAACATTATCTGTATCTGCAAGGAACATCTAATTTATGCGTCCCAAGAGATTCTGCTAATAAGAAGTAGTCACTTATTAAGAAACTGAGAAAGGAGTGTCAGTGCCACTCATAATTTACAATATTTTCTATGACTATTGTATGAATTTTGCTGAAAGTCACAGTAGTCTTGGGCCAGGGCTTTGGACATTTCAAGATAAGCAGCTGTTAGACTTTCTATAAGTTTGAATTTTGCTTATTACAGTATACCATCTGCTATAGGTTGAATGTTTGTGTCTCCTCAAAATTTGTGTCTTGAAATCCTAATCCCCAAAGTGGTGATATTAGGAGGTGAGGGCTTTGGGCAGTGATTAAGTCATGAGGGCAGAGCCTTTGAGAATGGGATTAGTGCCCTTATAAAAGTGGCCCAAGAAAGCAGTCTTGTCCCTTCCACAATGTGAGGTTACCATGAGAACACCACTGTCTCTGACCCTTCCCAGATACCAAATCTGCTGGTACCTTGATCTTACACTTCCCACCCTCCAGAGCTGTAAGAAATAAATTTCCATTGTTTACGAGCTACAGAGCCTATTTTGTTTTAGTAGCCTGAACCGACAAAGATACCATCTAAGTGGTCTGTTTATTAGCAGAAAACACGTTTAGTTCAAAATAAAGGATCGTCTTACAGAATGTGTTATAATACAGTTTGCTTCACAGAGACTCAACAGAATACAGATTTATAATATAGCCAATATACCAAGAATTAATCTGTTATCAAATATGTTGAGATGATTTAATTGTTTGATCTATTTGGTCAGAAATTAGGTAAATCAACCGCAGGAGAGCTTGTAAAATAAATTCCATTTGTTGAGTGTGCTAGGCGCGATGGGTTTATTTATTTACATGCATTACCTAGTTCAATCTTTGCAATAATAAAATGTGGGTACAATCATCCCCAATTTAAAGATGAGTAACTTGAGGATAAGCAAAGTACTCAAGGTCAAATATTGAACCCAGGAAGTGTAAGTTGTTTGTTTCTCTGTTCATTCATTCATTCTACAAACGCTGAGTTCTACTCTCTGTCAGGCTGTGTGTGTGACAAATACCAAAAATAATCTTTGTTAGCTTCTGTGCTATCCTGCTTACTTTCCCTGAGAGTTTATTGTTTTTGTTGAATTTGTTTTTCTAAAATATGTTTGTAAACCTTTGAAGATTTCTCCCTTGTGTTGCACTGTTTGGCCATAATGTACTTTAAAGTCCCCCAGTGAGTTGTATTAAAGGGAGATAAAAATATGAATGTAATTGATGTTATAGAACAACTATAGAGCATATCTTTTCTCTTCCAGCTGGTGTCAGCCATGCCCTGAAGCACAAGGATTGATAGCTTTGCAATTTCATCATTCCTGAATTGAATGCAGATGTTCTCATTTGTGGACAGTGACTGATTATCCCCTGAAACTTACTGTTCATCCAAATGATGTTCTTTAGCAATGAAATGAGCAAATTTAAAATATACTAGTAGTTTTTCCATTTTTTAAAAAGATGAAAGTTTTCCAATGAAAAATTTAGGTGTTTTCCATTTACTTCTGACTTCATTGTTTAATTATTAACACATAATCTCTTTGATTCTAAGGAATGAAGTCAGAAGAAAGAGTACCCTTCCCACATTCTCTCTTAGATCCATCAATCCTTAGTTGTAAGGGGGAAAATCAGTGAAAAGAGCTGATTATAGGCTCAGTAATTTTAAGATTCTCTGACACATAGATAAAACTAGTCTGTATTTACTTTGTGATTAAAGATACTGCTGAATGTGGTTTGTAAAAATTGCATTATTTGAAAACTGTTGGGGGTAATTCTCTATTTCAGAAGAAAATCTGAGGGAGCTTCTTTTTATGTGGTAATTTAGCTCCTTAATATTTAATTTTACACTTGAAATGTTTTTGCCACTCTTTAATAACTTCTGTATTTATTTACTGTTGATAATCTTTTGTCTTTTTAATTGTACAATTATTATAGTAAATTAAGAGTGTTTTGCCCACTTAGTACTACTGTAAGTATTCAAGTACTGCAGTATTCCTAACTATAAATAATATATTACTAATGCTTTGGGAAGGGCAGACAGGAGAATCTGGGAAGCTGGAGGTTTAATAACTCTTGCATAAGGTAAGAGAGTTGGAGGATAAATCCAAGAGACCTAGCTTGTGAATAATAGGAACTCCCAAAGGCTGAAAAGGCATAGGTGAAGGAAAAATTGTAATTCAAAAAATAATTTTGCTGAGTCTAAGAAAAATATGAGTTTACAGATGGAAAGAATTTTAGAATTATAGATGACATTGATGAGAAAAGACTTAGGCATATAGAGATATAATTCTTGAACTCCAGCAAAAAAAGAACATATTGTAAGCCTCAGACAGAAAGAACAACTTAATGCTAAAGAAAAACAATCAGGTTAGCATTGGAGTTCTTTCTTGAAGGCATGACAAATATGAAATAAGTAAAAAAAAAAAGGCATCCTAAGTATTTTATAGCCAGCCAAGAGATCACTTGATTGTCAGGTTAAAGAAAGATACTTGTAAGAATTTGGGGAACATAGCACTTACATATTCCATCTGAGACAAATACTTGAGAAAGGATTTGATTTTAAATTTAATAAATTAATCCTCACAGAGTCTTCAAGATGGTCAAGGAGCTAGAAAGAAAGTACAAATGTATCCTGAGGCCCTGATATTATGGGGCAGAGAGAAGAAATGCAAAACAAAAGGTGAGAAACAGAATATTCTGGTTGGAGGAATTACTTAACATCTTTTCTTTTTCACATAATACTCAACAGAACTCACAATTAACAAATACTGGGAGAATACTATAAAATTCTATGACAACAAATCTTAAAGGAAATGGATACTTCCATGGCAAAATGTATGTCAACCAAATTAATACCTCAAATCCAGCATCAATCTGGCATCAGCTTTCTTTTCTGGCATTTGACTAAGTATTCTCAAAACTGGATATCTCTGGTATTTTTATGAAAACTTAATTTTTGGCTTTCTGTCAATATGTCAAGGTGGGCTTTTTTTCTTATATTAAATTGAGTTCTTGAATTAATGGGTCTTATGTAAGTTTAAGTCATAATTTGGTCCTTGTAAAGAGCACTAGGTAGGCCTTTTACTAATAATACTCCAATAGTTAAGGAAGCAAAGGGATTTAGAAAGAACATTTTTTTTACCAGTCAGTTCATTTACCATGTAAAATTGCTGTAAACGATAATGTGTATAGTTTTCTGTTCAAATATTTAATTGTAAACTTCTTAATA